ACTGTATGTGACTGACTGTATGTGAGATTAACTCTTACGTCTTATGGGTTTGTAACAACATGACGGTGAGTAAATGATGACAGGATTCCTTTAACAAACACATACTAAAGGAACGTTCTAAGTCAATACAAGTAATTTCTTCCTTTATAAAATGCAGAAATATAATGGCAATGGTGTCTGCAAATTTTTGCATTTGCATGATGCTGCATTTATGCCACGCAGTATTTTAACAAAAGAGTTGCATGTTTCTGATTTAAGCCCTTGATAGTGCTTTGGATAGTGCTTAACTTGTATTGAACCCAGAACATTCCTTTAGAAGAAAAGAAAAACAGGTCAAAAGGGAAGAAAAACGGGAGAAAAGTGATATGCAAGCTACGGAAAACTTGGACTACCAGACGAAGAGATAAAATGATAAAGAATCTAATGAGAAAAGAAAGAAAAGAGAGTGAAACATAGTCATGAGGACAAGTGCATCTAAAACAACTCACATCTAATCCAGGGTCACCTGGCTCTCCATCATCTCCCTTGGGTCCAGGGGTTCCTTTTCCACCCTTGAAAGTGAGAATTTAAAGAAAGTGCAAGAGAGAAGAAGAGAGATTAGATAAGTGGAATTGTCTTTGCTGTGTCAGCTCATCAGCCGTCTCCTCTCGACGTCTGGACTCAGATCCACAGTCTAGACAATTTACATCTGCTAGGGATAAGCTGTTGTGCTTCTATTGCGATACACAATTCCTGCTGTGAGTCACATATGCACTAACCCCTGATGAATCAAGACATTTGTGAATCAACGGTTAGGTATGCTAATAAAAACCACAAATAAATCACATGAATCATTCTCAATATTAACATTATCCTCCATATGGAGGCCATCGTTTAATCTGTAAATAATTTTGAGTTTCATGATAACTACAGACGGGAATTATATGCCCAGTTGTAGAGTACAGGGAAGAGGATATTTTCCCATTCATTTTCTCCATAGGGATTAATTTATTAATTATCATTAATAAAATATTAAGTCACTGATTATAGTTTATAATATAAATTATATACACTGATTTAAAGTTTCATGCAAAATATTCAAACATGAAAATATATAACTGTTTGAGAGTGGGAGATTTGATTACATCATTCTCAATGATTTATGAGAGTGGGAGGTTTTTCAGCAGCAGAAACTGTGATTAATAGCTCTCTCTGCAGACTGATTTGGCACTTTGCTGTAAGTATTATTTTTTTATTTGAAATGAGCATATATCATTACTTAATAAATTAAATGTGTTACTCATTATCAATCAAAATCAGTTTCTCATTGGAAGCAATTAATGAGATTTTTACTTCTTGAACACTATTGGGTTGTACTCAAAATGAGATCTTATGTAGGGTTCAGGATACTTACAGGTGCTCCTGAATCTCCCCTGGGCCCAGGATAACCCTAAAAAGACACAAAACACACACTTAAACAATACAGATACTCCACTGAATGTTAATTTTTTCGGGCAAGATGTTTAATAAATTGGGAGGTCTTCTACCTGGAAGCCATGGCAACCCACGGTTCCATTTCCTGGTGGTCCATCTCCACCCTAAGCAGGTAAAAAAATTGTTACAGACAATAACAAAGTAATATAGACAACTGCCTTTGGTTAGTTAAAACCAGTTCTGAAGATCAAAAGGATTAACTCACCCTCTCTCCCATCAGGCCTCTGTCTCCTGGGGCCCCTTTGATTCCTCTGGGCCCTTTAGCTCCCTAAAGCACAGACATGCAACATGGGAAATGTAGATAAGTCACAGATGCAGCAATAGGTCA